CGGGTTTCGATACCCGTGGATGGGCAGAGCACAGATAGCCCATTGTGTAGCTTTGTACTTAATTACAAATAAACAATACTTAATTAATTCCACAAATAATGCATCTTTATTTGACAATATTTATTGGTATTACTTATAAATATTTATAAATAGTATCACTTAAAATAATTTCTAAAATTGTAAAGTATAATAATAACATTATTAACATATTTTATTTTTTCAAAACATACACAAGATTTCATGTTGGGACATTGGAACAAACAGACATAAATTTACCAAGCTCCCAAAATAACAAAGGCAAATGTCTACCAAAAAATACACTTTCATTATACTAAAGTATGTAGTTTACTATTATTAATATTACCATTTACCTATAGGCTTGCGTACATCTGTTTATTATTTCTTCTTATTACTTAACTATAATTTTCCTTTGGATACATAAACATATGAACTCTTTCCACTCAGTAATATACCACTAATATCCATTATAAGTAATACATTAATGGACCAATTTGCTAGAGTATCAGGTATAGACCAGTCCTGCTGGACCCCAGTTACTTCCATTCTATTGACATATGCCACAACTAGACCCATTCTATACATCCATTATTTAAATATCTTGTTATAGATTTTGCTATTATTATTATTAATATGTAGTAGTCTCTTCGACAATTTGAGCATTTTTAGCCTAAATATAAAGGTTGTGTAATATATGTTTGAGATAGTCTCTGTAACAAATGTACCTCGATCTACTGTTAGCCCCTAGGGGTTAAGTGTTAGAGAAAGGAGAAAATATGTAAAACATCTAGTACCTGTGTTTTGAAAGTTGGACGAACATCGGGTGTCTGGTGTTAAGAATGAGTTTTCTCAGAAGTTAACACTGGGCATTAATGCCACAAGAAGTGGAATTCATTTCTTATTTTGACAGTTAATATCTTGTACTTACACCACGAAAATGAAGTTCATTTTTTTATTTCGCCAGGTGTTAACATTTACGAATACACCTTCGTTTGGCACCTCACACATTGTGAAGCCATGACGCTAATTTCATGAAACCACAGCCGATCCTTTGACATAAAATTTCCGAAAAAATAAGAGTGCAAAAACAATCAATGTTTTAGTTGGAAAGTG